TACTTCAACACTCTAATCTTTCAGAACTTGTAAAGCAATCTCTTACGGCGCTTTGTGGGCTGTGAGATCACCCTGACAAACTGTGATAATGTTGGCAATCTCCGAATGGGTGTTCATTTGCAATCTTACTACAGAGGAATTGCTATGTTTCCAAATTTGAGGGCTTGACATAATCTGTCTCCACAAAGCTATCAGGGTCTGTCATAAGGCTGTCTGTGACCCAGGGATTTTATGGGGTTAATATCTATCCCCAGTGCAACTTCATTGTAAGCAGTGGAATTACCTAGAGTATGACTTTCTCTATCTATTTGCTTTCTTTCTCTTTATTTAAAACACCCCTTATTTTTATTTTTTTTTAAGTGCAAACAGCACCTAGCAATAACATCTGAGTCAGGTAGGGGAGATTGCTCCTCCAAATCATGACCAGTTTCTTACAGTTCATGCCAAACCCTCTGTTCCCCTCATCACACTTAGCGACTGAGAAACAATGCAAATGTCAGGTCAAGCTACAAAGCTATTGCCATCATCTCTTCCCTTCCGTATGCTCCCACTACTGGCAGTCTCTGGGCTGCAGTCCACAGGATATCCACAATTATGGCCCAGATTGAGGGAGGGGTAGAAAAACGATGGTACTTTGCCAAGTATGTCAGAACCTGAACTTGATCAATTTTCAGATTGAAGCTGGGGACTGTGGGACAGCACCACATTCTCTATCATCCAGCTAAAGGAAGGAAAATAACTTCCCACCTCCAAAAAAAAAAAAAATCAGAGTTAGTGCAGACCTAACATACATAACTATTTTATATTTGCCTCTGAACCTTATCTTTAGTTAAAGAAATATGCTGTCTTGATGTAGAAGGAAGATTTTTAAAATGCCGTAAGACTGTTAAGCACCACAAGAAAAAGTGAGACAGAGGGAGAGTCAGTCTTCATCATATTTATGAGGGCCACAAAACTGCTAGTGAAGTCATTTAATTTTGAAATTACTTAGGAGTCCTTTAAAAAAGCCGGGAACACAGGATGGAAATAGAAAACTAAAAAAAGTGCATCCAGTGTTTCAAAATAAGCTCCCTGCACAACACCCTTTCCCTGCTGTCATCCCCTTAGGCAAATTTACCAGCTCGGCAGTTCCTCGCAGTTAGCAAAAGATCCTCCCCAAATCCTGCTCAGGGTGTGGGTGAGCTGCTGGGACCTGGCCACGGTCGGGTCAAAAAGCCCGTGCCAGGGCACAGGCGCTCCACGTCAGCGCAGCACTGGAGCACAAGTTTAACTTCAAGCACCGGCGTGGATATTCTGCTGAACTAATGCTGGGATGTTTTGCTACGTTTCGTACATTTTTACAAAAGAAGTTCCCTTCCTTGGATTATTCCATCTAATCAAACCCAAAATCGTTAAAGATGCACTGTACTGTGTTTTATCCCCATTTAAGCTATTTTCTGCATTTCATTCTCTATGGAAAAGGAAACTCAGTGTCACTATCTGACCTCAGGAATAAGCACCTAGCTGCAAAGCTACTGGAAAATTTTTGAGTCCAAATAAATTCCAAACTTGTATTTTGGCCCGAAATTACAGCAAACTTGCCCCTGCTCTCGTTGCTAGTAAAATGCCTACTGCTTTTACCAGGAGCAGCAATTATCCCTCATGTCTCTTTAATCCTTCTGAAAAGCATGTGCAGCCTTGGAAGCCCAAGGTAAACATTTTAATGTGTGTATTATCTTACTGAAGTCAGCAGGTTGCATGGATATGAAAAAAAGGCTGCATGAAAAGATAGCACAAAGATCCGCGGGCTTCAAAAGGTTAAACGGCATCACTAATACAAAAACTGCAGATGGGACAGCCCTGAACGCAGCAATGAAAACGGTATGTGCTTTTCCTTCCTAAAACTCCCTTCTTGAGGGCCAATGTTTTTATTTCACAGTAAGCTGAGAATTGGTGAGTAGACTTGTATACTAGTTATTATTTGACTCTTATCTACATAAATCTATTTTTAAAGAAGAAAAAGTCAAAGGAAAGAGCCCTACCTCTCAGCTAGTGCCACTTCAGAAGCTTTTTGCTAACCACAGCTGAATTTTAATAATGTTTCTCCTTTTTAATTTATGTTTTTCAGTATTTTTAATACTGACAATAAGTCACCATGCACCCAGAATTTTCTGAAAAAAATTCTGAAGAATAAAGAAAACAAACTACCACTAGTAGATCACTATTTATAGAGGAAAAGAATACAGAAACATATTAAATTTACCATAAACAAGGGGGCTCATACCATGACAGCAACTTTTAATGTAATTCATTTGTCATATAAATTATGTCCCTGGGGATATCCCGTAAAATTAATTAGGTCAGAGAGAGAAAGAAAACAAATCGAAAACTTCTCAAAACTCCAGCAAACAATAGGTTTTAAACATAGCAGTAGCAACAGTCTCACTGTAAAGTTATTCCCTTCTCTTCCTCTATTCTTCTTTCCAGGAGACCAAGATCATCAGACTGAGAATCATCTTGGCCCACCAAGACCAAGGAAATCATACAGATTCAAGAAAACAACATTTCTGAAATTGAAAATTTTGCAAGCAGCTCTGTCTTTCCAAACTACAAACTCCCTGGAAGAATTCTGAAATATAATTTAGTAAAGACATTCATTGTGTCAATGTGGCTTTAAAGCACAAAGCTACAATTGCAAAATCTGGGCATGATACATTCATCATACAACACAGAAAAGCAAAGGGGAGGAGGGCGGAGGAAAACAGTAAGAATTTTAGACAAATTTTAATACTGGCCAAACTCATCTTCAAATCAAAACTCTGAAGCTTTGCCTGTTCATTAGCTTCTCTAGAGTTTAGGCAAAAAGGAATTTGCCCGTGTACTTTTCCTGTACCACTCTGGCTTCATTTTGTGCAAGAAACAAGACTTAGCTTTTTTCACTCTTCTCAACACAGCCCACTGAATTGGAAGTGTTGATACACATGTACAAAATCCAACACATTTTCTGATCCCATTCAGAATTTGCTCTTCCTGATGCCTGTGCCACCTTCCAGTGTAGACTTGAGTAATAAGGGCAGAATAGGAAGACAACAAAATGCAGGGGAGTAACTGAGTTGATGGTGCTTGATCATTAATGACATTAACAGACTGCACTAATGGATAATTCCACAGTACAAATTTCATCTGGATCATGTGAGGGCATGAGATCACATTTCTGCCAGCCCTTATATGTGTTAATGTTAGCAGCGGGGAATAAAAGATATCAGATAAAGCATGGAGCTTGCTGGTAAAAGTCAACACATCAAAATATATTTTAAAAACTGCATCAGAAGAATCAATTTATAATGGAGCCGTGCTTTGCGTTTTGAGGTGACAGAGTTCTCGATCTGGTAGAAAGTTCCCAAAGCTTCATTTACTACATTGTCAAAATATAGCCTGAGGGGACGATCTGACTTACAGATTACTTTATAGGACTGGTGATGAAAGAACCTTGCTTGGCTTCTAGATCCCAAGTTTGGCTCAAGATAGTGCAGTAGCGAACAGAACATCTTTTATTTTATGCTGGGAGTTCACAGTGTTCCTCTTCAGCATGGAATTAGGTTTTACTGTATAGAATTCTCACACACAGCTCACTTATGGGTTAGAATTCACACCTTCAGGTTTTGGGGATATACTTCACACCCTTCATTGTTACTGCTACTAAAGATAGAGATTACAGTGTCCTCATGTCATTGTAGCATCTGTAACAGAAATCTTTAGAAAACTCGGGAAAAAATTGTGTCTTTTACCAGGCCACAGCATGTCTTATTCAGCCTTGGAAAGGCTTCAGAGTGCAGTAACCACGTTAATTGGACATTATATGGACAGCCAAGGGTAGCTCAGTTACTGTGCAGCTTTTACTGTTCCTTGTCATGTTGTTTCAAAACACATTTCGTGTTTTAACCAGTCATATATACATATGAAAGCATTGCACAACACTGGACAACGCTACAGATCCACAGGAAATAATTGTTTCACAAATATGAAGCAATCTGCACAAATATAAATAGCGTGGCCCAAATCTGTTCCAAATTACGCTTATGCAAATCCATGGAAGTCCATTAGTACCACTAACAGAACAGAACAGATAAGAGCATGTAAAAATATAAAACATGGCTCTACTGTACAGCTATCCACAGGCCAAAGCCTGCCAGCCTGCCATCACTTACATTCCCCTACTTTCCCAGCACGGCTTTACAGGAAATAAGAAAAATAAGAGTATCTGGGAATTCTAGTTCTCTCATGCACTGGAGGACACATGTCCAAGAACATATGGACTTAAATGTGTCAGCATCCTACATCACTCTTATTTCAAGAATGTTATTAATTTTTGTGGGTGGAGTCCAAAATTTTAATGCCATATTAGCACACAGTGGCTGTTTCTGTGATGCACATGTCACAGGGAGCATATGTGTAGCAGTCCAAGGATAGCATTTTAACTTGATTTCAAATTATTTTCTGAATTGTAATACTCTCAAAAGATGGAAGTACTGATGCTACTAGCAGGGTATTTCACAACTTTTGTCTTCACAGTTTCATCCATCCACCTCAACTCTGACCACCAGGATATTATGCTATTGCAGATCTGGACTCTCCACACACAGCTGTTTCAACAAATCTCATTTTGCTCTATAATGCACAGCGTGTGACTTCAGGATTGGTATTTTCAATGCTAAACCAAGCTATATGAGTCATGTATGCTCCTCTAGGCAAAAAGCAAGACTAAGGTCAGAAAACTCTTTGCCCTGCTAACTTTACCTCAATTTCAATCCAGATCTTCTCAAATTAATTAGCCTCTTTACCAAACTCGCAGGTACAGACAGATACTGTGGGTATCAGCCATGCAACCACTCCAGCTGGATACAGTGAAAAACATATTGCCAAAGGCTTTTCGGCTGTAAATCAACAGGTGGTTTGGCACCGAGATTGCTACCTGTTTGTGGTTTTCATCTTTGGTTTCAAGACAGAAAATGAGATGATACCTCTCAATGCTGCATCTCAAGCAGGCTGTACAGAGAGCAAGGTTTCATTCCAAGCAAATCTCTCTCTCTCTTGCAAAGTTGAGGAAAACTGCCAACCACTGCTGCTCTTGCCATCAACACGGCGATGTAGACATTAGGAAAAGGCAAAGTAAAGGGAGAGAAGAAAAAGGAAAAGAAAAATGTGAGTTTTACATAAACAACAAACTACATAATGACTACATCTGAGGACAACAAAATAAAAATTACTGGCTTTAGTGTAAGGAAACAAACAAAACCTTGGAACAGCTTAATCTAAGAGGTTTTTTTAGTTTATTGGATACTGAGAATTTTTGTTTAAATTTAGTTCCAAGGGATACAATACTTTGAAAACATATGATAAACTTAAAGGGCCAACATTCAAGAAACAAACCTATCGTGGCATCAAAATGAAGTACACCATTACTCAGAGAGCAGCCTAAGCCCCTTCAACAAACACCCTGCAGAGCAGCAGAAGCACTTACAACATATGTTCTTGCCTGCAAACAGCCCAGGGTGCAAAAGGTGGGTTTCGTTTTTTTGGTTTTTAAAGCCTTCTGCATGGGCCTAACTCTGCCTTTGTTGAAGGTAGTGTTAACACACGTCGAATGCAGTGGGAACCAAATGTGGATAACTGCATACTTTGAAAAATCACACCCAATATGTTCAACTGATGCCATCATTCTCTGAGGACAAGTGTAAGCTATGGAATACTACAAGTAATAGAGAGCAGGAGTCTAAAGTAAGCTTTTCAGAACCAAGGAAGCATATTTCGATACTTTTTCACAGATAATTGGGAATGTGCATCTTCAAAATAGTAGTCAAGAGTAGGTGAAGACTGTCTAGAGATCCTTATGGTGACAGAAGTCTCAATGCCTTTTCAGAAAATAAGAGTTCTTCAAAGCAACTCTCAGCAACCAGTAACACAACAGCCAGTGAAACTATGCTTTTCGGATTAAAGTAAGAAAATGAAAGTCAGTGCCTCTCCACAGACGTAGACGTAATGAGAATGACTTCAACACATCTGCTAGTAATCAAAATGGGTCCACATTCACCAGTACACAGAAAAGTGGAATCCTAATGATCAGCGAGAAACTTTGTTTTGCCCCAGTAACTGTAAAATCGTTCCAGGAAGTTTTATGTACTAATTTACCTACAGAAGATGAGAACTGCATGATTAGATTGTAATAAATCATCTATACTGATAAAGACTGAGCTGAACAGAAAATGGAACTACCCTATCATGAAAATATAATCACTTGGAGGGAAAGGGGCCCCAAAATATTCTGTTCCTGAGTTGGAATAAAAAAACCAGCCAAGTGGGTCTTTTTTGCCTATGAGAAGGTGTTTCCACAAAAATTCACCTCCGAGAAAACCAAAATGGAAATTTCCCATCAACTAGCTAGAAAAAGGAGAATAAAAAGAGTAAAGAGCCTTCCAGAACCAGCAGTCGGGAAATATTTGTTTTGACTTTTCTTGGGTAAAACAGTTATTCCCAAGGAAAAATTTTATTTCAAGAAAAAGAGTTTCCACCGAAAAATCATTCCAATGGAGAACGCCTGGCCACGGCTACAAAGAATAGGACCACTGGCCTCAGCCAGGGGAAGGGGAATGCCAAGGTCAGCGGACTGGGTCTGCCACAGTCCTCTTGCACAGTCACGGGCAAACTGCTTTCATCCTCCACGATGCCATTTCCCCTCCAGCCTTTCTGCCTACGTATACCGTCCGCTCTTCAGGGCAGGGACTGTCTCTCACTGTATGTTGTATGCAGCCTACTGTAACACGCGTGTGTAATGACTTTCAGCACTGCAGTAACAACAGTATTTTTCCCTCCTACAGCAGCTAGTTCCCAGTACTGAGATGAAGAGAAAAACACAACCTATGGCTGCAACACACTGCTAATCAAACACTATTGTATACCATGGGGATGTGGGGGGGATGCCTTTTCATCGTAGAACTAATCAGAGTTTATACACACAAAATCAGACAACTCTATGGTCCAGTCTTGTGATCTGTGTTCCAAGCTGCCAGAAATAAGGCAGGAAAGAAGCGGGGGGGGATGGGGGGGGGCATCTCCTGTGTTCATAATGAAAGAAGAGAGATGACTGGACTAAGAGCTGATGAGGTTACAAGGCAACAGCAGTGCCATGAGTTGTTTGGGCTTAAAGCCAGATGTCTTGTATTTCCTTTGATTGTTTCTAAATAATTAATGGTATTAATTTAATCATGTGACCCCCGCCCCCCTTTTAGTATTTGGCTCTGTGTACTAACACTAAATATAAAGGAGAAAAACGGGACTGTCTATAGCATACTGAATATTGATGCTGTGTGTTTGGACTGCAACAACAGCTGATACTCATATCCATAAGACTATATATCTACAGCACTCACACAGTGTTTGCATGAAGTAGATCAAGTAGTAGCCTTCATACTCCATCCATAAACCAGCTCAACTATGGCATATGGACACTGCACGTTTGAAGTAGTAAAATAGAGGGTACAGCTCTCTCTCCGCCCACACTAAGATGAACCTGCCACTACTATTTCACGTAACATTTTCTGGCAAGCTCCCAGTTTTCAGTCATGCTGTTTTGCTTGAAAGAAACACTCAGAGGAGACTCTGCTTGTCTTGCTGTTCGAACAAACAAAATAATCACGCATCTTGAGCTAATGGTCCAAAGCTTAATGAAGATCATAGAAAAGAGGCTACCCGTGATGTGAGCATTCCCTTCTGACTTATCCACATAAGCCACCGCTGTTGGCAAAAGGAAATGGATTATGCGGATAATAAGTAACCCTGAGCTCTGGTCTAGACAAACCTTTGCTTGGTACAGTAGCAGTCAGCGCACAAAGAAAACAGCAACCACCAGCAGTAAAAATTTAACTTCTCCAAAATTTTCGACACCAGGGCACTGGCGGCAACAGCAGGAGGACCTGTGCTCCTGCACCTCTCTTGTTGGCTGCAAGTCTCAGAGGCACCAAGTAATATCATGGGAGTATTCTCAGCATTAGTGTGGAGTACTAGGACTGCCAAACTGTAACAGCAAAAATCCTGAACAAATGAAGACTAACGAAGGCAGCTCCCTACTCCCTACGTGCATATGTACTCAGTAAAAATGTTTGCCATTCTCCTACATAGAACAGCCTACCCTCAGCTCCCCGAGTCAAGTCTCCAGTCCCACCCATCTTATTTGCCCTTTTTTCCTACCACATTTCCACTTATCTTGAATCCCATGGCACTTACCATCAGATAGTATTAAATGGGGTAGCTGTGAGGTTTTGGAAGGGAGAAAGAAACCTGACAGCTTGGAGCAGACCCTCACTTTGTCCAGCAATGCCCCAGACTTCTGGAGGTAAGGACAAAGTGATACAAGGCCTTCCCAGATGTCAAAAGAAATTTCCAAAAATGTGCACAAAGCTAACCTCATCAAAGGTACCTATGGGGAGTCAGAGAGGGCTTGGTCAAGTCTCATTTCCTACATTTTATCCATGGCTCCCTGTTCGACTGTCATTCTGCAGCTAGACTACCAGATCAAGACTGGCATAATGCTTTCTACAGTTACGATTCTTCAGTCAAGGGAAGTGAATGCTGAAGAGTTCTCCACTAGAAAGCCTGGTCCTAATCTTCAAGGACTTAGCAGTCAAGGCCTAGCAATCCTACAGGCATCCTTCTCCACGACTAACTCACCAAGCCAGTTGGGCTCATAGGAAGAAGCCCGTTTCATTACAGAGAGATCATATGGGACATACACCCGAGCCTTTCAACTGGGACTGGGGCAGAGCCGAAAACTGCATCGGCCCTGCACACTGCAGAGAACATCACCTGGAGGGATCACCGTGACTGCCAAATCGCAGGCTGCAGCACTGCAGAGCGAGTGGAAGAGTGCTCTGGGTATCAGAGCTCAGGCTATGGGGCTCTTCTGCAAGAAAGAAGCAGAATGGATATCAGACTGACCACGCTGAGCAGAAAACATCTCACCTTGTCGTGTAAGTCCTTCTCTAGCAAGGTTATAAGGTTGAATAACATCACCTTTTTCTTTCTCATGGACATACATAAACAGAGAAAACACTAAATAATATTGGTTAAAATTAGAAGAGGAAGAGTAACATACAGAGAAACTTTACAAACAGCCCGTGTGCTTATTTGCTTGTTTTTCAGGATTTTGGGGGGTGGTGGTAGAGTGAGAAGATGGCATCTTTCCTGTGGCGACAAGGATCTCTGAAAGTGTCTACATGTCATACTTTGCTGAGAATGTACCTTTTGTTCCTTCTTCTGCTTTATTTCCCTTTAATGATAGCTTTGCAGTGAATCCCATTTGTGAGTTGCTCAAATAAATGCAAATTTATCTTGTAAGCAATACCCTCCAAAATACTACTACAACTGAAAATAAAAATGTTAAGAGCTAAAAGGCACTGGGTCCTCCCCAGTGCCCTCATCTCCCCAGCACACTGGACTGCTTGCTATTATTATATATGGAGTACCAGGCAGGGTACTCGGTATTATAAATATGTACTGTATTGAAATATATAGCCCAAGTCCCCAGGGCCCAACATTCTAATAAGAATTACAGTTGTGCAAATAACTGATTTATTTGGCTAGCTGACCAAACTGTGAACACGGAAAGGAAAAAAAAAACAAAACCCACCTAGGTGTTTAACAAAATGGGCTAGTTTCCTGTTTGTGTTTGATATGTTTCAATTATAATAGCCTTTGTTTCAAAACAAAAACAGAAACCTTGTTCAGAAATATCGAAACAAAACCTTTTGGCTTTCCAAAACTTTTCTTTTAATTTTTTTCTCAGTTTATTTTTTTCCATAGTTTTGGCTAACCTGTATCTGAGGCAAGCAGTTTTCAGCAATTAAAACATTCAAATCAACAGTTTTACCCAGATCTCAAACTAAGGGCTGAACTGTGAGTCAACCAGCTCTCGCCTTAATGAAAGAAGAGCAGGGAGGCAGGGGATTTGCAGTCTCTTCTTGGTTCAGCCCCGTCTTTGCATCCAAGGTGAGTTATTATTTCGTTCCTTTATGGTTGGCTCTCTGTCCACACTTTGTCTCTGCCATCTCTAAGCTCGTCGGGGTTAGA